ATGGCCGCGGACCACATGTCAGGGGCGGAAAATGGCCGTGGACCATGTGTCAGGGGCGGAAAATGGCCGTGGACCATGTGTCAGGGGTGGAAAAATGGCCGCGGACTGTGTCACGGGAGGGAAAATGGCCGCGTATCCTGCTGGTACCCCGAGGCAGAGTTTGCAAACCGAGGTAAATTTTTGCGGTCGGAGCTGGTCGTAACCCGAAAAGTTCGTTAACAGAGGCGTTCGTAGCCCGAGGTTCCACTGTATTGCCTATGTGGGCCCATTATTTTCATTTCCCCAAGTAGCTTATGCATGCTGATTGTCTTATTTGTTCTAGTATTATGACTTAGGAATTGTGAGGCTTCAACCTTCCAACTTGGCACTTTCCAAAAGTGTTTGATTTCAACTCTGCTTCTGAGTAGACATGTGAAAATTGCCTTGCACACCTTTTTTCACTTCCAAAAAGGAATTACATACTCAGTACAGTTGTTTTGAATGCGTGTCTGTCCTGAAATGGGGGAAACATCTACTTTTGTTCTATCAGTCAGTTTAGTTTGCAAATGTATTTTGCTTTTCACTGTTTCTGGATATGCCAGGAATCATGGCCATATTATACTGTACCCTTATGTGGCTGCTACCCAATATACTGAGTTTATGTACTTTATGTTGCTGTATATGTGAAAGAAGTTACTTCTTTTGTTTAATTTTGAGCTGTTGCTGCTCAGAGATAGTCTGCTGACATTTTTATGACCAGAAATCCGTGGTAAGGAATAAATGAAAAGCACTGTGTATTTTAGATCATACTCAATCATCCAAGTTAAGGAGAGAGTGCATTTTTACTCTCATTGTGCACAGAACAAGCACCCTGTGGCTCAGAAGTTTATTTATGTATCAAATATATATCCTGCTGCAATTACAAGGACTCTGAGTGCCTCAAAAAGATAAGCATACATGATAACAATATAGGAACATAAGACTTTTAAAACACCCAAACAGTTCATGGCATCAGGGCTGGAAAACTCTGTCTTCAACTTTTTCCAGAAGGCAGATAATGTTGTAAGCAAACAAACCTCCAATAGGAGGCCATTCCAGCGGCTGGCCCCATCAACGAAAAATAGTGTTTCTGGGCTTTGCCCCCCCCTCCCAGAAATGGGGGACCAGCAGCTGCTTCTCCTAACACTATCAAAGTGATTGGGCTAACTCTAGTGGGGAGATGTGGTCCTTCTAGCTAGTCTGTTGACAAGGACTAAAAGCAGGTCTTTCTGCTTTTAGGCTAGAACTTCAGCCTTTGTGAAGATGCCATGAGTTGAACCTTGGATCTTCTACATATAAAGCATGCACTTCACTACCGAGTGCAGATTGCCAGGAGTTACAGTCCCAAAAGTAGGTGAGGTCGGGGCCAAAACAACATCTGATTTAAGGGGAATTATATGAAATAAATATTGTTAACATGGTTATTTTCAACCACCAGAATGATTTCTCCCCTTAAATATTATCATCATGTAGCAAATTGGACAAACTCTGATGGCAACGCTGAAGACTTTGGGGAAAAGAGCCTCAGATTGTATACCTCTGCCCTATTGTAATATAGCTGAGGTTAATTATAAAAATGCATATGGTTGGCTCAAGCACTTGCAAAAATCAAAGTATTGCATTTGATAGTTGCACAAAATGGCATTTTCAAAGTGGTGGAAGTTTTTCTCTTGTGGCATCACATTGTTAGGTTCCCTCATTGTTAGGTTCATTGATGATAACTAATCTGCGCTTAGTTCTTTTTTTTTTTTTTGGTCAGGCAACTGAAACGTGAATTTCCTAATGCAGCCATTTTTAGCACTGACGAGTACTTCATCACAAAGGATGGCACCTATGAGTTTAATCCTGATTGTTTGGGAGAGGCACATAAGTGGAACCAGGAAAGAGGCATGTATGGCTCTTCTTAACATTCTTCTTTATCTACTCTATCAAAGTAATTTTCAAAAGTTGATTAGAACAAGGTTCATTTAATAGAATTAAGAACAGAATAATTCTAATCCTGAAGTGAAAATTGATATATTACTGTTTAAAGACTTTCTGATATATGGAAGCTAAAAACTACATTGCATTATGATGTTTTGTAACATCAATATCATGTCTGTTCTTTGCTGCTGTTATTAGGAATCTAGAAAATAAATATATGCCTTGAAGGGAAATGTTATTCTGGAAATAAGCTGCCCATTGCTATTAAACCAACAACAGTTTATTTGCATATTACTTTTCAAATGCTGAATCCTCCCATGGGTTTTCTTCTCTGTATCATTTCTTGGAAGAACTTAACATTTTCTGGCATGGCTCTGGGAGATTGATTTGGTCTGCCAATTCAAATAACAATCCATTCAATATTTCAGATATTGAAATATTTGAGGATATTGGGAAATGTTGGACAGAAATAGGTAAAAAATAATTTGGAAATCCTCTTTCCCTATCATTTCGATAAACTGTAGGACAGAAATGGCCATCTGGAAACCTGAGCCTAGAACTGATGTGAAAAATAATTGTTATATTTAGGGTTTGAAGGCTTACCTGAGTCTAATGACCTGTTTTGATTGTAATTTTTTTAGTTCAATCCATTTGTACTTTGCCTGTATATATTATCGTTTCATTCTTTTCTGATTACATTAGCCCGTCTCATTAGATCTGTCAGGGAAGGTATGTTATGGGTTCCATCGGCCAGGGACTTGCATTTGCAAGTGGCACCCTCCTTGTGGAACATTCTCCCCCGTGAAGTTAGGCTCGCTCCTTCCCTGCTACTATTTAGGAAGTCCTTCAAGATCTGGTTATGCCATCAGGCCTGGAGGTCTTTGGGAACTGGAGACATTCTTAGATGGCTCCACTGTGATCAATACTCTTGCTCTCTCCATGGGGTTTGTATATTTTAATTTTTTTTATAATCTTATTTTAATAATGACTTTTTATCCTTTTATAATGATTGTTTGTATCGGTTTGCTGTTTTATTCAATTGTTGTACGCTGCCCAGAGTCACTTTGTGTGAGATGGGCGGCCATATTAATACGATTAATAAATAATAAATACATTTCCTTGAAGAGGCCTCAATAATTTAGAAACTTCATCACTGCTCAGTAGAAGCACTTCTTACAATATATCCAGTCTTGGTGACCCATTTTGCCATGTGTTGGAAGCCAGGCCTACTGCTAAGTGTCTGGGAGCTGTCTCATTAGGCTGGTCTTCCACTTTTGGCAAGTATCATAGGGTACCGCTAAGGGGTTGGGAATCTTCGAGTTGTAAATACACTTCCTGTCCTTGCAGCTCCTCAGTAGAGTAACTAGTGAGATGACAGTAGTTGGCTGTCCTTCCATTCGAGAAAGCTCAATTGTAATGGAACACTAATTATTATATCTAATCTTAATGTGTTCTTCCTTTTCTGTTCTAATTTTGCAGTATTTTTTCTCCATAAATGGCATTATATGGGAAATAACAATCTGAAAATATAATGCAGAAAAAAAATGAAATGAATAAAACCCTCCTCTTGAAAGTCCTTTGCTAATTATATCTGATACTTATTTGCAATGGTAAATCACCAATACTTCTGTTGCAGTAAATTCCCCAAACAGGTTCTCCTAGCCTGGTGATTTGCAATTGTGCTATGAGCCCTGGAAATCTCAAGTTCCTTAGTCTGCTTTGAAAGTTACCTGAGGGATTTAATATAATTGTCTAGATAGGCGATAATTAGTTTTACCTACTAAAAACATGTACATTATTATGTTACAGCACGTAAAGCAATGAAGAATGGGAAATCTCCAGTTATTATTGATAATACCAACATCCACGCTTGGGAAATGAAGCCATATGTGATAATGGTAGGGAATATTGTAACCTATTTGTAATTCTTAATAATTGTGGGCTCAAAAGTAAGCTGATAACCTTATAATTAGTGAGGGAAAAGTTAGGGAGAAAATTTGCAAGAATCTGTAATGTGCGTAATGTTTTCAAAAACCATTTTTCTTCTGCTTGAATTCTACTGTGTCCAAGTTCTTGTCCAAGTTCTCGAACTGCATTCTTCAACTTGGCAGTATTGCAGCTATAATACATTGGCTGGGATTTATGGGCATCTGGAGGACAATAGGTTTTTATGCCATCCAGTATAAATCAAGCATCTTTCTTTAGGTTACAATTAGTTCTTTTTTTTTTTTGAGAACATTCTCGGAAATCATGTACAGTCTTAAAAGAATGTAGCTGCATGGAGATTATGAAAGCATAGTTCCAGCCTTTGGAATATTTATACCTAGGCCAGTATCAGCCTTGCAATCAGCACAATCATTTTTTAAATTAAAATGTGAAATTGCCTTATATTGAGCCAGATCATTAGCTTATCAGATACTTTCTGATTGGCAGCTGTTCTTCTAAAATACAGGTCTTTCTGGCACTCTAAACGCTTTTAAGGGAGATGCCAAGGATCTTATGAAGGTAAAAGTATGTCTTTTCAATGGCCATCTTTCAATTTAAAGCAAGTTGTAAGGGGAAAATGTTACACTCTCCTTCTGGTTGCATTACCATTGCTGCTAATCTGGCACTCAGAAAACTTGAGTGAAGTGCTTATACCAGTTAATGGTTGAAGATGCTTAAGAACATAAGCATAGCCTAGGCCCCTCTTAGTCTCGCATTTCTCAGTGGCCAGCCAGATGCCTGCCAGTGTTTCTTTGCAGTTGTATTTGGAAGTGTGCCCTCAGACCTGTCCTCCATGGATTTATCAATTTCCCTTTTAAAGCCATCCAAATAAGTAGCCATCACTGCGTTTTGTGGTGATGAATTCTTAATTATTCTGGGTGAAGAAGTACTTTCTTTTGTCTGTTTTAAATCTCTTTCCAATCAATTATATTGGTGACCCTTGGTGACTGTTAAAAATTAGATGCTGCCTAGCACACTAATGAAATATTATCTCTGCCCTTATGAGTTATAAAAATCACTTATGAATGTGATTCTCAAAAAAAGTCAATCCATCTGCTAATTCCAGTTTCCACTCATTTTTCTTAATATAGTTTTGACAGCACCTACAGTATCAACAGGTAACTGTTTCAATATTCATAGCTCACAGTATTCTGTTTTGAGAGCAATTTAGCGATTACTGCATGTCTAACAAGCTTTGCTTCTTTTCTTGAGAAGCAACATTTTAAGTCCTTGATATAACTGAGTAGCAGTGTTGGATTTTTTTTGTCTGCTCTCTTAGATATAATGTATTGATGATGAAAAGTCCTATATAGTTAATGGTGAGTAATTAGCAAAATCATGAAAAATCATTCTGAAATTTACTGAAACATTAGGATAAGTATGAATACTATAGTCATGCTTATATAAATAACTCTGAGCGTGGTTATCTTAGGAGATGTGTGTGGACTATGAAATGTATTTTGCTTAAGCTTCCAACAAAACAGTCCCACTTTGACTGGCAGAACATAATTTTGATGAAATGTTTCAAGTATTCTGGTCATTGAAAAAAGTGGGAATTTCCCTTGTTTTTCATCCCAGGGCTGTAAGATTAGATGGGGTGCTACTCTACAATAATCCACAAAAACAAAAATACCAACCTACAAAAGAATTGGGCAGATTATTTTATTTTTCAAAACATTAAAAGAAGCTTCATAGCGAGACATGGAAAGAATCATTCCTTGTAGTTTTTATAGATTACCACTCTACTGCTAAGCAAGTTAAAGCAAAAGGGGATTTTTTTTTTTTTTTTTTAAGATAGTCAGTCTGCCATTCAGGTTGCTTTTTGCTGGGTTTCTGTGCCTGTCTCTGTTATGTTGCTCCAAAAAATGCTGCTGCTTAACTCTTGCATGAACAGTAACATTGACATGGGAAAAATAAACAAAACCTTAATAAAATCTGCATTTAAATGTAACTTGAGGCTCAACTTCAACAAAGCACAGAATATCCGTATTCACTGAAGTACATTCACACATACACCCAATATAGCATTCATAGTGATCTCTGCATTTACAGCCTAAGCTCCCAACAACACTGGGAGTTGATTGGCTGTAGTATTCCTTGTCCTGGCTTTCTAGCAGCAGAGTTCGCCATGGCTCTGCAGTCCTGAACAATGTGCTTAGGTAACTGTATATTTGCTCCAGTACTCCTATCATCATTCCATCTGGTCAAAGCCAATAGCAGTAGGTATATGATTAGATCAGCTAGTAAACCTGACTTACTAGCCTGGAAATAAATCCTGATTTATAAGCCACCAAAATCTAGTTTCTATGCTTGAAACCGCTGTAATGCGTGAAGCAATGCCTCTTAAAACTATCAATTTTTGTGAGAATGCTCATTTTGTTTTGTACTGAGTGCTCTCAGAATGATTATTTCATGGATAGTTATGGGTGGGAGATCGTCAGGACAGGCATAGGGAGTACAGCTTGAACTAATCATTCCCAGAAAAGGAATTAGGGAATCTTTCTGTATGTTCTGGATTCATGCCAAATAGAAATGTTTCTTTTTAGGCTCTCATGAAATGTGGGGAACGTACCTTTACTCTTTTCTAATGGTTAAATTTTGGATAGTGAACAGTTACAGCATGAATATATAGGCCATAGGTTAACATGCTTGAGAAGTAAGCATAACCCACTTAACCAGGTCAGGTGCAGCTCTATGAGCTACATTCACATAACATGCTATTTTCAACTTGTGGTCTAGTGTGTTATATGCAGTTTATTATTCAGTGTATTGGGTTTATTCAGTACCCAAGTTAAATATGTTATGCAAATCCAACCTTTGGTATTTTTTCTCCCTGTGGTTTTGTGGTGGAGAAAAATATGGAAAACACTGCTTAACAGATTAAACATGATAGTATTGTTTTCAATTATAGCATGATAACAATTTGTTTTTGTTTTTTAAATCAGGCACTTGAAAACAGATATGAAGTTATATTTCGAGAGCCAGATACACGTTGGAAGTTCCATGTTCAGGAACTAGCCAGGTATACATGTTGCAACCATGGTTTAGAAAAAACAGACCATTGTAACCATTGATTTGAATCTTGATAGACAAGAGCTAGGAGGATTGTCCTGAGAAACAGCATGTAGGAAATCTGGCTTCTACTAGTCTAGTTGGAGGTATCTAAATTTTCACCCTGCTCACTTTTACTTACGTGTCATCTGATCATTAGTATTAAACTTTCTTGGATATGTTGTAAAAATTGTGGCCTTGAAACTGTGATGAAGACAGATTACTATGTCAGTACCTCATGGGTCAGGAATAAATGAATTGAGTATACATCCCTATTTAAACATAATGTATTTTTTTAGTGTTTAAAAATCTCTTGTAAATATAGCAATATACAAATAGCTTCTGAATCTATGAGTATCGGGTTGTACGATTACTGTTTTTTTTCTAAAAACATGTACCTTGCACATAGAAACCTGTAATGTATGGATCAGTGACAGAGAACTAATATTCTCACTCTCCTTGACATACTTTACATTTGTTTTATAGACGTAATCATCATGGTGTCCCACGTGAGAAGATACAATGGATGAAAGACCAGTATGAGCATGATGTTACCTTCCATACAGTGCTTCATTCTGAAGAACCAGCCAGATACTGGAATTCTGGAGACTATTCCCATCTGAATTCAAGTTTTGCCAACAACAGAACTAATAGGTCACGAAATTGAAGAAATTTTAGTGGGAGGTTTTAGTGGGACTTTACAGAGTTTTTATCAATTTGTATATTTTGTTTTGTATTCTTAGCAATTTTCTATTTTTCTACTGAACTAAAGTAGGTCTTAAGCCATTTAAACTTGCTGATGTCCCATAATTCTTGCAGACTTTTAAGAAAATTATAGAAGTGGTTTAAGCATAAACCATAATCTCACTGTTGCTTTTTCACATTTTTAATTTATTCTTAACTGCAGCCATTTTCACAGTAGGCTTTATATTCACAAAAAAAATTACCGGGTGGCTCCTATTTAGGACTACGTATGTGAGCTAAGGACCATATTAACTGTTAGCCTTAAAATGGCAGCTACGGTATATGATATAGCATTTCCCAACTCCTCATACATTAAGAAGAGCAATTCTGTGATACTCTCCAGCAGCAGCCATAAATGTGTTGGATTTCTCACTAAGGCCAGAGATAGGACTCCAGTCTTGGAGCATGCAATCCAATGGCAAAACCCTTTTCCTCTTGTCCCTTTACCAGCGTCCAAGTCTGTGTTCAGTGTGTCAGAAGTCTGAGCCTTCAAAAGGACCAGAACCAGGCATTCTACGGATGGGTGGGGGCCAAGCTTTTGATCTTCAGGATCAGGCAATCTTCTGCTGCCCCCAAAACTAGATCTGTGGATATCCCCAGAACGAGTACAGATAAATTGTAATGATTGTTAAGTATTGTACAAATGATAAGATCTTGTTTCCTAAGTCCTATAGATTCTATGTTCCATATACATTTTAAAAATGTGCATCCATGGTATTTAGCTTCTTTTACTTTTCTCTTTGATTTTCACTTTTAAAAAATCCTATTCAGTACACTTCATTGTCCAAAGAGATCAGGTGCCTCATTAGGATCCCTATTTGCTCAGCCTATTTTTGAATTCCTGGCTGTGATGATTTTATAAATCTGCTAATAATTTGCCAACATTAAACTGTATAGAACAAAGGCACAGCCTCACTTTATTTTTACTCCACAAAAATTGTATGGTCTTTTCTCTATGAAACAAGCAAGATGTATCTCAAATTTCCTATTAAGTAATATGTACTTAGATGTGAGTCAGAAACCAGCATGAATGTTAAAAACTAGATACTGACTGAAAACAAATATTGAAATTGTTTCAGCAGCTTTGTTAATATTCAATGCCAAAACTGGGTTTACATATTATGCTAGACCGTGGTTTGTTCAACTACAGCTGGGTTAACGTTCCATAGTTCACTAACTATAATGATTGGGTTAGACCAGCAAGCAAAACTAAAACCAGCCACTTCATGACATAATGTAATATGTACTCAGATTACATGAGGTTTATGCCATCCTGTCTACTCATTTAGCCTATCCTCTTCTTTTGCTTATCCTTACGTGCCACAGTAGTAGCCTCTACATATTAGCCCACCAGATATTTTTGTACCCATACCCTAGATGACTGTGCTGCCTGAATTCAATGTTCAGGTGGTGGAAGTTTCAAGAAATGTAAACAGACCAATGTCTTGTGTTTTCTTTCGTTATAGTGATGTTCACTTCAGTTGTCTTAAACTGGATTTCTCTTTAGTTTGACAGATTGAACCACTGTATTTTCATTCCTTTTGATAGAATAAAAGTGTTTTACTTGTGAAAAGTTGGTTTTGTTTTTAGCATAAACTGAATTTTTTCCCTCTTGAACCAATTTCTATTCTTCAAAAATTATTTTTTAATTAAAATAATTTTATTTTTTTTAAAATATGTTCATTGTATTTTAAGGAGACTAACCTAGTAATAGGTTTTAGGCAGTCCTAAGCCCACTGAAATTTGTGACGCTTAAGGGCCACAGCATCAACCTATCCCACTATTAAGATGATATAATTAAGTATGCCCAGGAGTTCAATATATAGTCTGCAATGCATTTAATTCTTTTATCATGGAGATTATGTAGTTTTATTTTAGAATTTTGGCTACTCTAAAGAAACATAAATGTATACAGATAATGATCACTGTATTTATATTTGGATACTGCTTACTGTAATAGTTTTCTACTAGTTTAAAGATAGTTTAGTGTTCGGGGGCATATTCATTAGGATTCTAGTAGAGTTCACTGCAATCACTGCAATCAATCAATCAATCAATCAATGTATTTCTTTGCCAAATTCAATTCCTTACAACAAAGAATTTATTTACATGCATTTATTTCCCCAGTGTTCAGATAGCAGGACCCCTGAAAATAATACTTGTAAAGTAAGTTATAGATCAGGTCATATTGTCCTCATTTGCAATATTAAAGGATGAGAGATAATTTTCTTTTTGCTTCCTTCTTTGGGGAAGGAAAATCATTTGATACTATTTTAAAAGTCAAATTTGATAAAACAATCATAGGCCTGTTTGTATAATTTTGGGCACTTGTCCCTTCAGCCACCTCTGATACATATTACACTGTTTAGAACAGCCCTTCATAGAGCTTCTTTAAAGATGAATGGAAAGAAAAACAAGAAAAATCCTTTTCTGTAACCTTTTTACCTACTCTTGTGTTAAACCATTTGTTCAAAAGCTAATTTTGCTACAAGCTGCATTGAATATTTGGAAAACATTAAATAAATATGAAATTTGAGATAAAAATGTGAAACTCATAACTTCTGACCCAGAAATGTACCTCTGGCTTATATTTCAGGAATTTGCAACATTCAGTTATTCTTACTGAAATGTCTTGAAGTGCTTGTTTTGAACTTAAATGTGTAATAGATAAACAAACCTATACAAACATTCAGAGTTTTAAAAGATGGTAATTCAAATATTAAAATACAGTGTATTAACAGTGACATTTATTATTTTGTTTTCTTTGCCTCTGTAACTTTCCCTATGCAACTAATGAACTGTTTTTGTTTTTCTTTTGTAGGAAATTCATTCCCCCCTTAGTATTATCCTGATGCGTTTTTTTTCTGCTAGTGGACTGGACAGAGTGATCAGTCTGTAAAAAAACTGCAGTATGTTGTGCTGGGTACACACGTGCAATCTCACCCATAGATCCAATTCCTTTCTCTTCTGGAAAATTACTTAAGAGGGCTTGCGTATTTATCATTGCAAGTTCCTCATCAGCAACAAAATTGCTTTCAGGAGCAATCCCACTTAACTTTAGCAGGGGAGTTTTGTTAATCTTACTTTCTGTTTTTTTCACTGATGTTTTTTCACTCTGGGTACAGGAGCTTCGAGGAGGCTGAAATGCTTTTTTTAGAGATGGTGAAATAAATGTACAGATTGGTTTCACAGGTGGAGGGGAAGGTACTTGACTGAGCAGGTCCATTGCTTTTCTTTTCTTATAGTTCTTTGGAGTTTCTTGAAGGTCTGTTGTCACTGTTGCAGATCCAAGAGTAAATGATGGTTTTGTGTCTGATTTTCCAATGGTCAAAGGACTTTGATGCCTTAGTTCACTGTTGGGAATTGTGATCTTAAAAAGACAACAAAAAATCTAATTGGATTATTTCAGTTACTTTTACACAGTAAAAACATCTGAACTAAATAATGCCCTACTTTTTAGGTTTGTATGTTTTTAAAATAAGTTCCTTCTTATTTTAATCTTAGGAAATGTCACTACCAGGTATGTAAACAGTTTATAAGACAGCCTTCTCCAGTCTCTGTGCCTTGCAGATGTGTGTCTAAACTAGAATTTGCAGCAGTGACTATATATAGGTTAGGAAATATTGCCTTAAAACATTTTAATTGAAATTCTTGATAGGAAGTCCAATGAACATAGAATAATTTATTTTTGAACAGCATGTATAAAATTGTTCTTTTAATAAACTTACCGCTTGCTTATTTCCTGAAAAAGGATCCAAGCTACCACATTCTCTGGACAAATTAAGTAATTGTAAGCGATCTGATTTTAGCAAATGCATGACTTTGCATTGGGCATCTTTGCTAAAGCAGCTATCATTCTACAAAACAAAAACAATATTTTTGTATTATTATAATAACTACATCCTGGTAAAAGATGGACAATAACATAGTAAAATTGTTATTTAATTCTTTATGGCCATCCACCTGACATACAACTCCAGGGAGTGAACAAAAACTTAAAAACAAAACAACACATAATTCAAGTATAGTATATTTTATGAATAAATGTTTTGAGAAATTATCTGAAGTATGCAACTAATATTTTATTTCTGAATGTCAGAGAAGTTGCCAGGAGAACATAATAATTATGTTATTCACTGATTTTTTATAATGAAATAAGTACAGGTAATTCTCGCTTAAGGATGGCAATTGGGACTGGAATTTCTGTCACTAAGCAACACGGTGGTAAAGCACATCATGTGATTGCACTGCTTAGTGACAGACATTCTGGGACTTCCAGTTGCCATTGTTAAGCAAATCAGCATGGGTCTTTAAGAGAGGACCTCACGTGTTCGCCATTTGTGACCTCCTGCCAGCTTCCCCATTGACTTTGGTTGTGGGAAGCCAACAAAGATGGTCACAAATGGTGATCACATGACTGAGCGACACTGCGTCATCGTAATTGCAAGCTGGGCACAAAGCACCCAGATTGTGATCATGTGACCACAGGGACACTGCAACTGATGTAAGTACGAGGACCAGTCATAACTACCACTTGTTCAGCACTGTCATAAGAGTGAACAGTCGCCTGTGGTCATTAAATGGGGCCACCTGTAAGACTGCAACATTTGGATTCATTTCTGCAAAGATGTTTTGGGAATGTGTAAGGTTGTGAATATAGGACCTGGAGCAGTTTCTTAAAGCAACCATGCCTTTTCCTGGGATTTCTCATAAATACTGAACTAAACATCTCTCATAAATATTGAACAGTGTTGATGTGGACACTTGCTGAATCAAATGTGGAATGTCTTGTTTTAATCTGCATCACAAAAAAAGTAATGTGTGCATGTCATATATTCACTGACTGTACCTAATTGCTCTATTAGAAATAACTAACTTTACCTCAACAGTATTTTTAAGTTCTTTAAATATTTCTTGGAGATGGTTTTCCTTTGGGTTTGAGGAGAATGCAGAAAGTTCTCCAGCAAATAGGGTGGGAATGTCTGATTTGAATTCAGGTCGCCACTGAAGATTGGTTGCAGCGATCAATGCAGAAGGGATGATTATATCTTCAATAGCAAGCTGCTTGAGATCTGTACAGATCTGGACTGCTATTATATTATGATGTTTATCTGACAGGTATACCAATGTAGAAAAACCTATGTAAAAAATGAAACATACAACAACTTGTTGAATTTAATATTTAAACCTTCCATTTTGGCCATGTTTGAAATTCAAAATAAAAAAATTCCTCCACTCCCAACTACAGCTAATAGAAAATTATAATGTATTTGCAGCAGGAATGCAAGAAAAAAAGGGTAACCAATAAGGTCTGTGATGCCAACTCTTTCCTTTCCCCTACACTGCATCCTGTCATCACTACCCAGTTTCCCAGCCAACCTGCCCTTTTACTCATCTGTTCACCAAGGCTCACCTTATTTGTTCAGGAATGGACAAAAGAAGCAAATTGCTTCTGCGTGTTCCCCCAAAAATCCACCAAATTAGTATCTTTATTTCTAGATGTACCTACAGAACTGAAAAAAGCTCAATACCACAACTCCACTAATGAAAAGCTAATACAATTTAAGCAGAAACAATTATGAAAAGCAATAAAATAACAAACACCAGAAATTTAAAAAGTAACCCCACTCTTTTTTTATGCGTAACCCTACTGTGACTTGAGTTTTCAGAAATTATGCAACCCAATTTAAAGGAAGTAAACTCAGGTAAATGGAACATTACAAATTTGTCAGATGGAGTTGTACGTACTAAAAAAGGAGAAGGAAAAATATTAAAGATCAACCCTCTCCTGATACACCATTAAAATGGTTTGATTTGTAGATGGAAATGCTTGGTTTATATGGTGCACCTAAGATTCCTGTTTTTAACTAGATCTAGACAGTTTTAATATACAATAAATATATTTTGTAATTCATTTAAAACTTTAAATGAAACTTTAAAGTTATATTTCACTATATATTATGTAAACAAACCTAGAAAAAATGTATCTTATTTTACCCAGATATATAGGTGATGGGGTGGGGTGCAAATGACAAAACATGTATCAGAAGGCAAGTATGAAAGCATGGAGTTTGCACTGCAACATATGCTTCAATATTTTGCCATCACAGTTTGTACTGAATGCTTATGTTTAGATGGCAGTACTTCTATGAGTAGGTAAAATTACTGGAATAAAAATGAAAATAATATCAACAACTTAGTTCCCATATTAAAATATTTAATCATTAAATTTGTTAAGTTCTGCAACTCTCAATTCTCAAATATGCTTTTTCAGGAAACTACACACATGCACACACAATCAAATCTGTTTTTCCCCCTAAAAGTATAACTGAAATAGGCAAGTAAATAAAAAAGAGTATCTAAATGAGGTTACCAGTACAGTATATAGACTGGTGCATTTCATGATTCCTATAAAATTCCACAATAATAAATATAATCTAGGAGCTATTCAATCACACGTGAAACTTCAAAGGAGTGTCACAACTCTAAATTTCAGTTTGGGAAAAAAATATGACTTTAGCAGTTTATATTAAATTTAGATTTAATTGCAAACCAAAAGCAGATATTTAACTAAAGTACGGAGTTTATTTTAACAAAGTTTCATTTTTAATTTTAAAAGCATATTTAATTTTTATCCACCTGAATAAAAATACCGATTTGGAACTTATATATAACTATTTTTACATAAGTAATAAATGTGATTACAATATATAATGTACCTGTTCTTTTTGTGAAATAAACTATATATCCCACCAAATCCACTTCAGAACAAGCTGGTCGGAAGGAGGGCTCCAGTAGCTTACCATATACCAGACATTCCCTTGGTCTGTAAGCTTGTAATAGACTCTCTTGAGAAACCTAATGGTGTTATGGATAATAACATTAGGACAGTTACTTGAAACCATTTTAAGTCTAAAGATCACATTTATGTCACAACACCTACTGGCAGTTGTAGATACTGTGTTTTCTTGGTAGCTGTTAACTGTATACTGGCAGTCTCCAACTTGCCTTTGGAGTGAGATGCAGATAACTGTAAAATTCTATATCGTCCTCCTTCTTTTAAGAGGCTACAAACATGTGAGGATGGACGCCAGATGTTCAGTATAACTTCTAAGATTAGAATTAAAAATACAGATTACATTTTGACAATATGGAGCATCTTTAAAAAGAATATACTCTTGCTGGTCATTGACCATATTTTATTATTAATAATTATTAATAAAGAAAAATATATAATATACATTCATATCTGTGCTATAGAAGAACTTAAGAGTTAAATTTGCTTTAGAAATATTACTATTTGCATAGTAATGCAGTTAAACAAGACATCAGGGGGTGACATACAGTGAATTCAAATAAACAGGTTATATGAGTAAAGTATTGCTTCGATGCATTATTATTACATATATTTACTGCCAATATGCCATTCAGAATGGATTAGGATTGTATTTACCTTTTGTGCTTTCTTCTGTTCCATAATCTACAATTCGTAATTTGATTATGGAGGATACATCCCTTCTGCAGGAGCTGTTTTTCTCTTGCTCAGCAGATTCCACCGCCTTCCTGAATTCTGCTTCTATCTGTGCTTGCTTTTTATCATTGACCATCTGCCTGTGACTATTCAAGGATTTTAATTGCTCTTCACTGAAAAAGCCCTGCAACAAACAATGGTAATACTGGAACAACTACATATGTCTTAATGAAAATGAAACTTACAAAATAAGCTTCAATTTCATTATTCCATGGAATATTAAATGAATTGGCTACCATATGTAATTTTTTTCAGCTAAATCCTATACATGTCTATACAGATATAGGTTGAATCAGAGTTGGAAATAGCTATTCAGCCAGCAGTTTCAACTTCCTACTCAGTGAAGGAATCCAAATTAAAACATCCTTGAGAGATTGCTGGTGAGCCTTTGGTTGTGTGCAAACAGGAGCCCACCACTTCTCTGGGTAGTTGATTCCACTGTCAAACCACTCTTGCTATCAGGAAATTTTGCTTAACATTCAACCAAAACTCACCTTTCTGCAACTAGACCATTATTATGTGTCCCACACTTTTGGATGATCATGGCTTTCTTGTGTGACATATTTTCAAGGATGTGAGAAACATCATATCCCCCACATGTCATCTTTTTGCAGGGCCAACATGCACAGCTCATCAAGTCTTCATGTAGAACTTAATTTCCAGTCCTCTGAGCATTGACATTACCCTTCACTGCCAGTTTCTCTAAATCCTTATCAAAAGACTCATGGCAAAACTGGACAAGGTACTTAAAGATGGGTCTGAAATTTACTGGAGACATATGGAGCAGGGAGGCAACAAAATTGGTTAACTTTTACCCCTAGTTGCTCTTTTACCTTTTCCAAGTCCTCCCCACTGCAAAAAGCTTATTTTCCTGCTGTTAAAAAAGAAACTGCCTAGAGAGCAAGTAAATTACTTGTGCCTAGGAGAACACAAGTGTTTTACTTTGGATTTATTAACTCTGTACCCTCTTCCATTAGGACCCATGGCACGATCATTATTACTTTCAATGTCATTATGCATGTAAGGCAACACCAAAGTGTGCAATAAATACTTCCTATTCTCATAATTAAAAGAATTAGTTTTTCCAATAGCCCTCTTAATGTGGAAAAAGGACTGTTCTTAGACTTCCTATGTTGCTTTTACAGTTAACTCGCCTTTCTATTTTTTTTTACTGTCCTATTGTTAACCAATTCAGGTTAACCTTCTGTGTTTAAAAGCCTAATCAAAGAATAAAGTGATCATGCTTTAAATTTTTGTTGTTAAGACAGGTTTATTTTATAATCCTTGTACAGGAATTTTGAACTTTTTTTGGTAGAAAATGTCATACATAATCTGATTTAAAAGCACAGCACATTTTTAACTCTACTTGGTCTGCCAGCCCTATGCTCTTGAAGTAAGACTGATTTACACAAATGGTATGACTTGCACAAACTATTGCTGCTACTGTAGCATTTATTTATTAAACTAGTTATATTACCAGCTATTGAAGTCTCTTGCTGGCTTACTGTGAAGCTGTACAAACAGAATGAAAGTCAAAGATATTAAAATCAAAATCATCAAAATGTAGCAGCCTGTTTAAAAAGCCATAGTTTGGGGGCATTTTAAACATCTGACAGATAAATCACCTCAACTCAGTGAGTAGTATATTCCAAAACCCGGAGTAGTTATAGGGAAAATCAAGCCCAAGTCACTGTGAGATGTGGCCCAAAACCTACAAGGTTCGATAATACCAATATTTGGTACTGAATTTAATCAAGACTGACATTATATCCAGTCATGGCTACAAGAACACAGGCTTGAATTTGTCAGGGGCATTAGATTAGTACAATCAAGCTCATACATCATTGTGGTAAGCAACACAATGATTCCTGCCTTTTCTTTTTTCTCTTTTGGTGTTAAAATGCAAAGCACTATTGATCCAAACGCTAGATCCACAAATTATATTTTATAGATAAAAATGTAATATCTGCATTTCAATTGCAAAGAATTTGTGAAGTGGACAACATTTTTTACATAGAAGGCTTTGTTGATGCATTCATGCAATATTCTTCTACCATTCTCATATATACATCATCCTATATGCCTGCAAAAGCCATCATTCACAAGGACATATACACTGGGTTCATATATCATGCTAAGCTTTATTTTAACTGCTACTGAACAATCTACAATACTTGGGTTCACATGTTGCAGTCAACCATAAATCATGGCTTATAAACTATAACGTTAGGGTGCATAGAACACAAATCATTAATAGCAAAAATGTAGAAGGAAAATGACTATGTAATAATGGAGTTCTTGATTTAAAGGAAAGTGATCTGTTTTGGACTTGGACTTTAAAAACATATTAATAAACTTAGAACAATGGTAAAGTAGGATCTCTTGGGAGGAGATCTAGATGGGTGGGAGTTCCTAAAGAAGGGGATATTGAAAGCACAATTGCAAACCATTCCAATGAGGCAAAAATGGACAGCAGCAAAAGAAACCAGTGATATCTTAAAATAAAGGACACATACAGGAAGTGAAAATAGGGGCATGTAAGTCACAAAGGAAGAGTAGAGTACAGACAAATAACTCCAATCTATATAATTAATATTAGGAAACTGAAACCTCAGAATGATCTAAGGTTAGCAAAGGATGGTAAGAACAACAAAAAGGGCTTCTTTAAATATATTGAAGAGAAAAGGAAATGAGAATAATTAGAGCATGAACTGCTCAATGAAGAAACACTAACAATTCCTATTTTGGTTCAATCTTTTCCAAAAATATGCTTATTCCTCCAGGAAATTGTGACATTGTGATGAAGAGACGAGAGAGAAACTTGAGATTGACAGAAACATGGCTGGGGAACACTTCTTTACTTTGCAGTAGTGAATCTTCAAAACCAGCTAATTGCATCCTAGGGTACTAAAGGAACTAGCTAATGGTCTTGCTAAATTACTATGGGTTACTTTTAAGAAATCCCAAAGTGCCAGATGTGGAGGAGAGAAATTGGAAAAAGGAGTATCTGGGATGCTTTAGTGTGGATTCCTGCACTGAGCAGGAGGTCGAACTTAAATGGCTACTTCAAACTACGAATCTAAGCCAAAAAAACACCCCACCATTATTTTGGTGTAGCAAATGAACTCAGTTATACACTTGTCCTCATTCAATTTCCCAATCTTTGTGAGAATGGTTGGGAGTGCAGTTCCTTTAAAATATTAAGTGAAATTTCTCTCATAGGATTTTCCTCATCTCTTTTTTTAGCCATTCTGTCTTCCTGCTTCCCTCTAACTCTGCCTCCTTTGCTTTACCCCTTTTACTTATTTTCGTTTTGGAGGAGAGTCCTCTGGATTCAGAAACCAGAAGTTTATAGAATGACTAAATATTTCTAGCACTGTCAAAAAAAAAAACTTACCTCCATATGAGATGGATCAGCAGAATTAATAATTGCTTCATAAAGCTCTGCACCATCTTGTAGACCACGTATCTGTTGCCTTGTTAATGTATGAGATCGCAATACTCTTTTGTCTTTATCTGTTTTTAAAAATTAACATATCTCAAATAACTACCACTGTGAATACCCAGTTAAGTGTAATCGAATTGAACAACTGAGCTTAAGCTGAATAGTAAGCTTTTGAAAGGAAATTGTAACAAATCATGATATGTTACAAAGGAGGTGCCAGCAATTAATTTAAAATTAAATTCAGAATAGCATTTTAGTTGTTTCTGAAAACAATAAAAAGGTAGCATACTTATGTTTATATCCTATCATTTTGAAAGACACCCAGAGAAGAACAAAATAGGATCACCTTATTTTTAAAAATACTATTTAAATATTAAGAATTGGGAGCAGGAGCTCCAATTCTGAATATAGTAGCAGTATTGGGAACATTCTCTCCACTGTCTTTTGGATCTAAATCATCCTAGCCTTCCATTAGGCATCAGTAACCATCCTCTGCAACTCTTGATATCAATTCAGTCAAAACAAGAAGCTATTTTCTTTGGCAGGATGGCCACTGCTCAGACAAGGAAGAAGTCAGACACCCCAGCCCAAACTCCAGTGTTCATTCCATTTCTGGCTCACCCTTGCTCCCTGAAAAAACAGAAACTCTGATCCCCTCATTTGTATCCTACAAGCCTGTGTTATGTAGTACTTCAATTCACACTAATCAGAATGCTGATGAACACATTTCTGCATCAAAATCAATTTAAACAGTGACACACAGTTTTCAATCTAATTTCAAATAACACCATTATGGTGGCAAATTACTGTGCTCTCAAACTATAGCACAGCATTAAACCCTATCTATGGAAGCTGGGTTAGAACGCAGTGCATATTGCAGGAACTAAGATGTTGTGCTTTAGTAGGCTTGTCTCCTTATTAAATAGAAAATAAATGAACCCTTCTGATACTGCCTCATATTTTATCATAGATAAGGCAATCAGCAGGTTGTTTATTGAGCGTAGGGGATGATTCTTATTTAAATAGTCATGTATATAGTGTGTGATCTGCCAGTGTTTCTAAACATTATTTAATGCAATGAATTGTAAGTCTGGTTTATAATTACGACAGAATACATTATTTTAGAGTAAGAAATACCCAGAGGGAACCATCTCTAAAGGAGAAATTGTAATAGTCATTCTGTTTATATAACTGCAAGAGTTACTTTCTTGAAACCTGATACTTCCTTAGCTGTTAGTGCCATTTAAACATTAATATATGAGTTGAGTAAACATTACTGTACTACTTTATAATATTCAGGCATATACTAAGGATGAATACAAAGTAATTGTTCTAGACAAGTACATTCCAAGGTATTTCTATACTTAAGCAAACATACAAATCTTTCAAAGCTTAAAAACTTCAGAGTAACTCAATTCTGTTTATAGGGCTGGAATCAAGTATAATTGGGAAGAAAAATAGCTATAAATTCAGTTATTTAAACAGCTGTGTTGCACACAAAGGTTAAATAGGGAACAGATAGGTTCTACAGTAGCTTTCATATTTCTCTACAAACAGGCATTTTTTCTTTTATTACATGCAAAATAATATTCTAAAAACAATTAAAAGTATAGAGTTATATTTTACCATCATTCTTTTCAAATTTAGCTTGTATTTTTGCCAGCAATGCTTCTAAGGTTTTCTGTCGATTTTCAGCAAATTTTGCAGCTTCTCTTTCTTCTGCTCGATTGTTACGAAACACACAGGACCCTGCTGATATTTTTTCCATCCACTGAAATAAATATTGGCTGAAAACTAGGTCACTGTTTCAGTTAAGATTTGCTTCTCAAATCTTAATAATTAATTATATATAGGGGGGGGGAGGGAGAAAAGGCTATTTAATATACTAAATTACTCTACCTGTATAGGGTAAATCTTCTGAACAATGACATCAATGCAACCAACAGTCCCACCATCACTAAACAATGAGGATAAAGGCAAGGAGAATGGCCGAGGATCCCGATAATATCCTAATTTGGCATACCATCGAGCACGTCGAGTACTGTTAGCTGTAATCTAAAATAAAACAAATATATATTTCATATGCAGCTGGTGTAAAGTAGCCCAGTAACCATCTAGATTTTTACAAGTATAGTACAAGATCTACCACCTAAGTATAGAGCAAAAGTTAGACAAAGTGTACAAGTGAATAAATTAGATCTGTCAACTCTAAGTGCAATAAGGGTAATCTATAACACTCATTTTCAAATTGTGTATGTTTTACTGAAGATACTGGTTTTGGTCTCAGGGCGGTGGCTATGTGATCTGGAGAGGGGATGTTGCCATCTGTCCCTTGTCATGGACAGAGTCCTACTGGGTGACCCTGGAGTTGACTCCCTTCTTTTCAGGGAACTGAGCCTTATTGGTTTTGGACGAGCTTGGGATTTTCCCTGGGGTTCTGATACACAATTTAACCAAGGCCCCTGGTTGGTTAAGCCCTCCAGGGAGGGTGCATGTAGGTGGATCCAAGTGGTGGTAAAATGCTTCTTTGAGAGAAGAGGTGGTTCTGCAAGTTCTGAAAAATGGTAGTGCACCCCCTATTCAAAAGATCATCCTTGGGTCCAGCCAATCTGGACAACTTTCATCCAGTCTCCAACTTTCAGGGAAGGTTGATGAGGTAGTGGTCAGCCTCCAGCTTTAGAGGACCCTGGAGGAAGCAGATTATCTGAACTCTTTTCAGTTGAGAGTCTTTTAGACCAGGATAAAGTACAGAGGTGACTTTTGTTGCACTTGTTGGTGACCAATGACAAACTCAGGATGGGGTAGTGCATTCATCCTGGCTCTCCTTGATGTCTCAGGAGTCTTCAATACCATCACCCATGATATTCTTCTGGACCAGCTTAGGAGGCTGGAAGTGTGGGACCAGTTCTATTCTCCTAGGGGAAAGGAGAATAGTTGAGCCCTAGGCCTCTTTTGCAGAGTGCCTCAGGACTCTACCCATTCCCTCCTCCTTTTTAATATCTACATGAAGCTGCTGTGTGAGATCATCTGTCAGTATGGATGAATGTCAGCCTTACTAGGTAGACTAGACAGGACACATGACCAGATGAGCTAGTCCTACTTTATTATAAAGCTACATTAACAGGATCTTGCAAGTCTGAAAGTACAGTTCTCCCCCCCATCTCCTTTACAGCCCGAGAAACTTGGGAGGGTCTCTTCTGAGCCTCTTGCCCTGCCCACTATTCAGCTGCAGGCTATGCTGTCTCTTATTTGACTGTTCCCTAGGCAGCATCTCTTGGCCCAGTTTCCCAAGATTTTTCACACATACCATTACAGTGAAGTATCATCAATATGCTGATGACACCCAATTTACATCTCTGCCCCCAGCTGCCCAAACAAAGCTGTCAGGGTTCTGTCTCAGTGTCTGGAGGCTGTGAGGGTCTGGATAGGGAAGAACAGGTTGCAACTCAGCCTGCCAAGACCCAATGGCTATGGGTTCTTGGTCTCTTGGATCTGAGAACTGGAGTGTTTCCATGTTTGGTTCTGGTGCTGCCCATTCAGACTAGCCTCACAGCTCCTGCTCAAACAACGGTTCCTTGTGCACCAGCTTCACCCATTCCTGGGCCAGGAGGGTTTGCTTATGGTTATTGATGCCTTGGTCACTTCCCAACAGGATTATTGCAATGTGCTCTATGTGGAGCTGCCCTTGAAGACTGTCCGGAAGCTTTAGGTGGTCCAGAATGCAGCACCATGGGTTTTTATGGGGACAGCTTGTAATGTCCATGTGCCATAACTGGCACTGGCTCCTAATAAGTTTCCAGGTGCAATTCAAGGTATTGGTTATCACCTTTAAAGCCCTACATGGCATAGGACCTGGTTACTTTCTGGACCACCTTCTCCCAAGAATATCTGTCTGCTCCACATGCTCCCATAGGGAGGGCATGCACCAGTTTCCCTCTTTTAAATATGGCCATCTTATGGCACCTAGAAAGTGTGCCTTCTCAATGGCTGTCCCTGTTCTCTGGAATGATCTTGCCCTGATATACAACTGCCCGCAACTCTGCTTGCCTTTAGAAAAGCTGTTAACATCTGTTTTTTCCCTAGGCATTTGGATCTAGTTGAATGGAGTTCCCTTTTGGTTGTTCAGTTATCATATTTGGTTGACATTTTATATTTTGGGTTATTTTTTTTAACATTGTATGGTTCCCCCCCCCTTTTACTGTTTACTTTTATTCTACACAATTCACATGGTTTGAGTTGAGTGGCCCTATAAATCCATTAAATAAAATAAAAATAAATAAATAAAATGGTTATTTACAGATATTGCACTTTAAAAAGAGAGAAAGAGACCTGACCTGGAGATCTAAAACTCTGAAAGGCAAGTACAAAAAGGAGAGAAAACTATGCAGAATGATTATCATCACACATTCCTACAGCAATATATAAAAAACATCTTGAAATACAATCATATAGCTTGAGCACATTTTATAAATGTACCTTTAGCATCAAAGATTCTGGTGCTTCTAAAGGAGTGCTTGCATCCTGAGATCCCACAAGTTCTGCTCCATGCACAACAATCTTCTGGCCAACAGTCAGTTTCTGCCTATACAACAGCGACTGAAGAGGAGGATCCAAGACAGCCCTAATTCCATACCAACCATCTGTAACTTCAATGACTGCCACTTCTTTTTTGTTGTCCTCAGTGGTGCTTTTACTGTCAGCAATGTGAGGCATGTTTGTGCTAAATGATATAATTTTAGAGATGCACAGTATGATTGTTTTTCCAGCAACGTCATCTCTTTCTGTTATTCTTTTGATGGCTGATCGTTGACTTTTATCCACTTCTATATCATACCTTTTAAAAAATTGATTAAATACTTCAAACTGAATTTGGATGTTTCTGAGAAGCAATTTTTTGCTAAATAGTAGCACTTAACTTAAAGAACGGACTCATTTAAAAGTAGAGAGGTAATTGAGGCTAGATATAGATAAATCTTAATCTTTACCTGTATTTTAGCTGAAGTAGTACTCCTTCTGGTGTCAAACATTTACTGGCAAATACTTGTGGAAATGCTACCTCCATAGCTGCCAGTTTCCATACAATCCACTTATAATGGTTATACACCCAGGCTTTTGAAATTAGATTGGGATCTACACCAGGTGTGTCACACAAAGCCCTGCACAAAATTATCAGAAAATTTATCAAGCTATTAGAAGATAAAACTTGAGTTTCAACATAGAAAAGCCAATAATAAAGATCATAATTCAACTTTTTAAATGCTTGTTTTGAAGACAGTGATAAATACAAACACAGCCTGGTTTCCTAATTGTATTAGACGCTAAGGAATATCCTGTGTATTCATGTGGAGTTTCTTTCTCTGTTACCTCCTGCATTAATACTTTCCATACTTAAGCTCCAAATCACTATAAGCAACTATGCATATTTATGTTTATAAAGGTCCATATTTAGTCAAAACACAATGAGGAATGACTTGAGAAAGAATTGGATATGATTAGATTAAGAGAGAAGAGGATGTGGAAAAAGCTGCTCCAAAAAGAAAGAGTTAGGATTAATGGATTTTATACTTGGGGGAGGGGGAGAGAGAGGGGGGGGTGGCTAGGGAAAAAGGATTCTGCATGTGAAAAAAGCATGCTCAAAGAAGTGTGCTTAATATTATATTCTCTTGTACACAAACCTGAAGCATATTTTGCATAAATTTCAATGAAAAAATAAGTTTTGTAAATTATTTTAGTAATAAAAGAGTGGCCTACAACAATAACTTGTAATTGGTTCTAGCAACATTAATGATCTATTCAAATTCATAAACAACAGGGAGCATTTATTTGGAGATTAAGGATATCTTTTTTCCAAGAAGAGATAATGAGTTCTAGTCCTCCCTTAGGCATGAAAGCCAACTGGGTGACTTTGGACCAGTCACTCCCTCTTAGCTCATTCCAACCCACCTCACAGAACTGTTGTGGGGAAAATAGGAGAAAGCATTATGCATCCAGGCTTAATTTCTACAAAATAAAGGCAGAATATAAATCTAATAATAAGTAAGCAAGCATAAGAACCTACTTTATACTGAGCCAAAGTATGGATGTTACAGTAGCTCAATAGCTTTATTGAATACACTATTCAACTGGTAGCTGCCAATTAGAGACCAAGCTGGATCAAGATTTTGCTTATGATATATAAGATCCTAAACAACTTGGGACCAGTGTTTTTAACTGATTATTTTCACCATTAGCAACCTGGTCAGTCACTGAGATAATGAGGAGAAGTGACTTCCGAGGAAGAAATGGCTGATTGAATACAGCTCCATTCTTTATGGAGCTGACGACCATGGCGGTTAAAGAAATTGGCCTAGGTCCAGCCTTTCAGAGTCATGTCCAGATAAAGAAGATCAACAGGATCACCCACAGGTACTCCTTACAGAGATTCCCTGAGAAAAGATTGCAATCTAGCAATCTCTAGTGGATGGAGTGCTCTGGGAGTCGAGGGAAACATCAAGCCCAAGTTGTGGTGTAGAGCCTTCAAATGGACACTAGATTTGCTCCTCTTTTAACTAACATCATAAACTGCCTATTTGTGATTTATTTGGCAATTAAGGGCCTCCTGAAAGACAAGTTGCTGTATACTGGGAGAATTTTCTACTATCCTGGGAGAAAGAAGACCAAAGTAAGTTTAAAGATCAAAAAGAAATATCTTAACATTTGGAAACAGTGAAAGGGAATTAAGAATGTTGATTGGGGAGAATTAAGAGGCTAGATGGATTTGAAACAGCTTTTTAAAG